TCGATGAAGTGGGGGGATGGGCGGGCAAGTCGATGAAGTGGGGGATGGGCGGGCAAGTCCGTGAAGCTGGTCTTGGGCGAGTAAGCCTTTGTGAAATCTGGAGGTATGTTTTATGTTTTTCTGCAATTTCTGTATTTCTTTATCTTGAGGTATGTTTTATGTTGTTTACGTTGTTGTTACAGAAATCTCCTCGCATGGTCCCACCCGAGCAGCGGAAGAGAGAATCGTGCGACACAGCGCCCAGCACACAGAGTTCTAAGGATGGTACGGAAGTGGGGGGTGTTATTTTGGAAAGTCTCTAAGATTTTTCATTACGTAGAATATTTACAGTTTAAAAGCAATATAATGAATTATATATTAAAACATAAACGAATGCCTTACTAGAAGCAATATGCGACTTATTAGAACCAGTACTGTAATATCATTTCCTTTCTTCTATACGATAGCAGTTTTGAAAATGACAAGTCTTACTATATACAGTATTTTATACAATGGTATATAATACAGCGAATTCGTGTTGAAACAGTAATTAATGTTAACAAATAGATTACAAATGGATACCTGGTAGAGATCACTGGATATAATTTGGACCTCAGGATGATTATTCTTGTAGCTTTATTCAAGAATGCTGTAAATCCTCGTAATGATGATAATCTTCAGCCTGAAAATTCCCTCATCCAATGAATTAGGGTAATTTTCTTTTCAAGCATTTCTTCCCACACCAAAAGAAAACTAACTGGTGTAGATGATTTCCTTTTCATGTTTCCTGAAACACTGTCAAAGGTCCGCTGTCAGTGTATTTGCCTCCGGCGACCGACATCTGTCCCTCCCTCCCTCTCATTCCCTTTACTCGCACTACTTCTCCGAGCGAATCCTCGCTTAAGGTAAAGGTACTTTAATGACATTTACTCTTTTGTTGGCAAACTCTCGTATATCCCTATATTCTCCCTGGTTTTCCCTTATATGCCGATATGTTTTATACTTAAAAGTGACATCCGTTCGCAATATGTTACTGAAATAGACGTTTGCCCTAACATTAACTTTTTTCGAAGACGAAAAACGTATGTACTGCAAAACCGTTATTTCAGAGATCGAATTGTAATAATTATATCGACAAGACTATTCACATACTAGTATATCAGTCAATGTTAACTATCAATAGTTTCACAATTCAAATTTAAAAATAAGGAAAGGGGACGGAAATGAGAAAATAGCTTTTCCGCGAATACAAAAATTAGCTTAGAACATAACTAATATTTCGCATATACTAGACAGAAATCGTCATTCTTTCCAGTCTTTAGGATTAGTAACTTCTCTTTAAAGTAAGATTTACCTTTTATTTGAAATTTTTCTTCCACAATTAGCTTGCGTGTTGTTTACGAAGGATATAGCTGAATAAATCGGAGAAAAGTGCCCCCAAATCAAACCAAATCAAATATTTCCCAGCTCATATGAAAGAAATATAGCTGTAAAGAATGTTTAAGACGCATTCTAGGGTGAAAACGGAGACAAACTGGGACTCCAAATTATTACGTAGAAAATCAAAATCAATTTGTTTTCTATTCGAATTTGTTGTAAAAAATTGGTTGACAAAAATTCCTTCAAATTCAACAATTTTTTAGTCTCTGCAATTTTCAAATACGATAGAAGCTTAATAACGTATGTGAAAAAGTTTCTTGTTGTACCTCTGCAATAGATAGCTCTAGGAGGCTGACTTTTTGGTAATTTACCTTATTTTTATTATCTTTCACATGATCATGGGTATTATTGTTTCGGTTAGTGGACTCTTTTCACCACCATTTGCGGCTATATAATTTTTCAGAAAGTTTTTTTTCTTTTACCATCCAAATAACAATATACTCTTAATTTTTTGAAGTTTTATTTTGTATATTTCCTGATTTTGTAATTAAATGATGATCCACAGTTGCTGAGAAATGTACTTATTACTTGTATCTGTTAGTAATTTGAAAACAATGATGGGGCCCCCCTCAAAAAATCAAGAACATATTTTCACTAACAATTTTACTATACAAATAATAAACCAAAATTTGCTTCAAACTTATATGTAGACAATTTTAAAACGGTACCAAACAATTAATATTTCATCAAAAATATGAATTCTCCTAGAATGTAAAATTCATTTCACAAGTATGTTAGCTTATTTCTCGAATAGACGCTAATTTGTCGTTGATGTTCGTTGTGCGGCAGTGATCGTGTTTGTGTAGACTGCCAACCAACGGATGTCAAATTGACAAACACCATACTTTCTTTTGAGCTCGTGTGTCGCTAGCCTAAGAGTATTTAAAATAATGGCGTGTTCTACGTAATTGCGTACCAAATCTGTGTAATGAAATAAGATCTGTTGAAAGTATATCTGTTCCAGGCATCATCATTATATACAACGTGAAACAATGAAGACTGCAACAACAGATTCTGAGCAGCCATAAAGCCTTAATCAGTTGCCAAAGATGTTAATCCAGTTTAACCATGAATTCTAGACAATAGCCTTCGCAGATTTTTAGTCATTTTAATTGGTTTTTAGATAAAACAAAATTACTACATATTCAGAAAATTATCAAAAATTTTCATTAATTTAAAATGTAAACAAATATAATAAAAATGTTATAAAGGAAATCTACTGATTTTTTTATTGTTCATTTCACATAATTTTATTCGCTACTGTTAACTAACTGTTCCTGTCGCTATAACCCATATCTCCCAAACAAGATTTTTCCCATAAAAATAGTGCCTGAGGTAAAAGACGTAATGTCTCAAATGAATAAAAATAAATAAGTAAAAAAGTAAAAGTAAATAAATATGCAAAAGTAAATGAATAAGTAGAGGAGCATTTATGTCAGGCTGGTAAACCATATCATTTATAATACGCTGACTGGAGTTTAGGTAAACATTGAACTAATTTATAAATAGCATTATGTAGTGTCGTCACAAAAATGAGGAAATTAGAACTATATAATTTTTGAAGATAGAAATTCAACCCTCCTTTCCTTTAAATTTCATATTTATTACACAACTTTATGAACTTTTAAACGTATTCCCATCGCAGCTACACCACTCAAGAAAAATTAGTACTACTGAAATTCATCATGAAATTCTTCAGAATGTAGTTGGGTGATCGAAAAGTAACTGACCAATTTTTGGTAATTTATTCATGTTAAAAAATTCAAGTAAAGGGAAGTTAATCATATTCAATTACTAGTCACTTAATTCAATAGAGAGTAGAAACTTGTGTGTTTGTAAATTATTGATTTAATAAACTGTTTAATTTAATTTTTTAGTACTTGCTTTACTTATACATGTTTTCATAGAACACTGTTTATTTGGTTGCAATTTACATGACCTACATCAATCATAAGTTTCTAATTTTTTGTCTACACACTTTATCCGTTGTAGATGCACTAAACGCAAAGTAATTTACTACAACTAAGTTTGTTGGAGATATTGTCACAGAATGTTAAGACTGTAAATACTCTAGAGAAAACATGGGGTTTGCCCCAAAAATTGAAGTGGTAGGACACACACACAAAACAGCCTTATTTCAGAATATTTTTATTTTATCTCAAAAAGCATAACAAGCATATCGAAATATGCTAAAGTAGATTCCGTCGTGATCCGTAACAGTAGTAAAGATTATAATGAAGCTGCAAACTCG